TGGTGGATGGAAATGGGGGAGAAGAGAGCTAGGGTTTCGCCTCACGTGGGGTTGGTGGGGGAGGCGAGGGGTGAGGGCTGCCGTTGGATCCGAGAGGATCCAACGGTGTTTCGTGCATGATCCGCGTGTCTGGTCCACGGACCAATCAGAACGCAATACAACATTATGACCAACTAAATTGGTCGTGATAGATTTAAAAATAAGATGTTAAAATCATGTAAGCTATTTTATGATCACAGAAATTCAAAAAAATAAAAGACCTTCTCATTGTGTCACCAATTGTGAACTACCTTTCAGGAAAATAACAAACATGGAATGGCAAACAATGTTGCCTAAGAAAGTTTTCATTTTTTTTGCACGAAAAAATCATTTTTCATTTTCCGAGTGCCCAAAATGGTTTTTTTTTGTGAAGGACCTACCAAATAATTGTTGCAAAATTGGACCAAATCAATTTTCTAAAATACTAGGACATATTTAGTGCACAATTGACAAAATGGTTGGATGTAAAAAGTTTTGATCCACCTCTCGTGAAAAAGACAAATTTCCACCGATTCAGTTGGAAGCGGGTCAAATTTGAACTGCAGCTGCCTCATAGTTTGCTATTTATTTTTTCCAAAAATAATTTCTAGGTACATAAGTATCTATTTAATCAGAGAAACACCAAAAAAATTCCAAGATTCAACCACTAGCTAGGAACGGTCATTCCCGCTGTTTTGACCGCATTTTGAAACGGGCATAAAAAAATTCAAAACAAATCAAATAATTGGGAAACCTTCGCATTGTGTCATTATATGTGGCCAAGTTCCCAGGAAAAATAACAAACTTGCAATACGACAATTATTTTAAAAAAGTGTTCTCAGAAACGAGCTATCACGTGTGAAGATTCATGGCTATCAAGCCAAATGATCAATCTTATGGCCACATTCTTGGCATAGTTTGTTCAAATGATCTCATATTGTGCCAAAGAGTGCATCTTGGAATGGCAAACAATGTTTCCTAAGGAAGTTTTCATTTTCTGTGCACGGAAAAACCATTTTCCATTTTTTGATTGCCCCAAATGAGTTTTTTTTGTGAAGGACCTACCAAATAATTGTTGCAAAATTGGACCAAATCATTTTTCTAAAATACTAGGACATATTTAATGCACAATTGACCAAATTGTTGGGTGTAAAAAGTTTTGATCCACCTCTCGTGAAAAAGACAAATTTCCGTCTATTCAGTTGGAAGCGGGTCAAATTTGAACTGCAGCTGCCTTGTAGTTTGCTCTTTATTTTTTCCAAAAATTATTTCTAGGTACATAAGTATCTATTTAATTAGAGAAACACCAAAAAAATTCCAAGATTCAACCACTAGCTAGGAACGGTCATTCCCACTATTTTAACCGCATTTTGAAACGGGCATAAAAAATTCAAAACAAATCAAATAATTGGGAAACCTTCGCATTGTGTCATTATATGTGGCCAAGTTCCCAGGAAAAATAACAAACTTGCAATACGTCAATTATTTTAAAAAAGTGTTATCAGAAACGAGCTATCACGTGTGAAGATTCATGGCTATCAAGCCAAATGATCAATCTTATGGCCACATTCTTGGCATAGTTTGTTCAAATGATCTCATATTGTGCCAAAGGGTGCATCTTGGAATGGCAAACAATGTTTCCTAAGGAAGTTTTCATTTTCTGTGTGCACGGAAAAACCATTTTCCATTTTTCGATTGCCCCAAATGAGGTTTTTTTGTGAAGGACCTACCAAATAATTGTTGCAAAATTGGACCAAATCATTTTTCTAAAATACTAGGCCATATTTAATGCACAATTGACCAAATGGTTGGGTGTAAAAAGTTTTGATCCACCTCTCGTGTAAAAGACAAATTTCCGTCTATTCAGTTGGAAGCGGGTCAAATTTGAACTGTAGATGCCTTGTAGTTTGCTCTTTATTTTTTCTAAAAATCATTTCTAGGTACATAAGTATCTATTTAATCATAGAAACACCAAAAAAATTCCAAGATTCAACCACTAGCTAGGAACGGTCAAGCCCGCCGTTTTGACCGCATCTTGAAACGGGCATAAAAAAATTCAAAAAAATCAAAAAATTGGAAAACCTTCGCATTGTGTCATTATATGTGACCAAGTTTCCAGGAAAAATAATAAACTTGTAATACATTAATTATTTTAAAAAAGTGTTCTCAGAAATGAGCTATCATGCGTGAAGATTCATGGCTTTCACCCTAAATGATCAATCTTATGGCCACATTCATGGCATAGTTTGTTCAAATGATCTCATATTGTGCACAAGGGTACATCTTGGAATTCCAAACAATGTTGACAAAGGAAGTTTTCATTTTCTTTGCACGGAAAATTCATTTTTCATTTTCCGAGTGCCCAAAAGGAGGTTTTTTTGTGAAGGAACTACCAAATAATTGTTGCAAAAATGGACCAAATCAATTTTATAAAATACTAGGCCATATATAATGCACAATTGACAAAATGGTTGGGTGAAAAAAGTTTTGATCCACCTCTGGTGAAAAAGACAAATTGCCGCCGATTTAGATGGAAACAGGTCAAATTTGAACTGCAGCTGCCTCATAGTTTGCTCTTTATTTTTTCCAAAAATCATTTCTAGGTAAATAAGAATATATTTAATCAGAAATACATGGTTTGATGGCGAGACATCGAGGTTTGGACGGTGGCCGAGGGCCCAACTCTAGAGCGCGTAAGCTCGCATGCCCGCCGCGTGGTCACCGCGTGATCGTGGCGTTGCCATGTGTTCTGGGCGGCCTAGGCATGTCTAGTGGGTTGGGCACTCCCCAGGTAGGTGCTAGGAAGAAAATGCAACATAAGATTCTCACGAGGAGACCGATCGATGCTCAAACATGAATAAGCAGCCAAGTGTTTGATTTGTGGTACGGGAAATGCACATGGCTAATGGGCGTGAGTTTTGGCCAAGGATGATCAGTTACTAAAAAGGCCGTCTTCGCAAATTTTCACCTCAAAAGGAGGAGCCTAGGTGGTACTTGCTTTACAAAGTACCACACTGGACATAAATATGAATGTTGAAGCTGGGCTCAAAATAATGAATGGATTGAGCTGGCATTTGGTGGAGGATGGTTACTTGGGCATAGGAAAGCACTGTATAAAATGGATACCATTTGGACATGCCAAAGTGGTACTTCCTTCACAAAGTGCTGCTCTGAACAGAATAGGAAAATGAATATTTTCGAATTATTTTTGAACTAGGCAAGGAATGTTTTTGACATATTTGATGAAGATATGATCCAAAACATTTATGAGAATTTTTTGGGAATTTTTGGTATAACAGAAATATAGGTTGCTTCACAACCTAGGGCAAAAACTGCCACATGGACATGACACATAGGCAAAACTGATGAGATGGCGCCTAGTCATCACAACCCACCACAATCTACAAGGCTATGACCATCTATATTGGTCATTAACAACTAGAAATAAGGCAGCGGACTAGCACCGTTTGCTTTGTGACCATTTCGTGTAAGGAAATTACGACCTTTCTGACCAAAATGGTCACAATGGTTTAGGGTTTGGAGCCCCCCGAATAGCTTTTGACCAATTGGTCTGAAATGGTCATAGATCTATGACCAATTCTTCCAGGGTCACTGTCAAAAGGTCACTAGTTGACATATTTCTTGTAGTGAGTTGGCCCAATGCGCCACGTGTTGGGTTAATGGATGGCTCCTTGCACGTCACACGCCCAACTGGCCGCCTGATCCGGTGATTTGCTGGAGAGAGTCGGCTCAGTGCACCACACGTTGGGACAATAGACGAATCTAGACGTGTCACACAAAGCTCGATTGGCCGTTTGATCCGGCAATGCACTGGAAGAAGCTGTCGCGCCGCACGTTGGTCCAACGGACGACTCATGACACATCACGCAACGCCCGACTGGCAGTCTAGTTGGCAATGAGTCGGAGGGATCTGGCTCAATGCACCAGGCGTTGGGCCAACTCCTCGCATGTCGCATGGCTCCTGACTATTCTTCTGATCTAGCAATGCGTCCAACGGAGCTAACTCATGATACTTCGGCAAAAGTTGTTGGAAACCCCCAAGTGGAAGGGTTGAAATAGTCCAGCAACAAGCATTTCTCGAGTAGAGAACCAAGGTTTATTGATGGTAGGAACTACCATAAGTAAGTCAAGGATAAGTACTTTCACACAACCAACCGACTTTTGCTTGTCCCCAATGGGTCACATTGGTTGTCAGGCATCTTGTCTAGCTAGTTACAAGGATTAAACATACGGTGTGATAGAAATTGATAAATGATGACAATGAATAAACAATTAAGACTATAGGTAATAGT